GCTGACGAGATAGTTTTGCATATTTCCATTTAATCTTGGATAGATTTGAACTCGTATAATATAGGCGGCCCCAAACCAAAAAAAAAAAAAAAAATTAAACAAAGGACTATGGTAGTATATAAATCAGTGGTGTTGGTCGAAAGTCTCTGTCTCATGAATAATGGTCTTTGAATCATGTTATCAAATTCCAATCTATCAATCCACATCAGGATTTAAATACAACCTTTACATAAAAGCAATAATGATAATAATAATGTGTTAATTCTTATGTAGTTTACGTCGAGATCCTTGTATTTTAGTTCTGTTTTTTTTTAATTATTATCCTCTAGTTTCAAGAATTCAAGTTGATTCTTCATACAAGTAATGACAACAAATTAGCATATTGTACACCCAGTAGTGCAAAATACCAATTTTCACTGCCGGTAAAAATGCATTTTTGCTATTGTAAGGGAAAAGTAATAGAAATAAGTGCAGTTGTAATGAGTAATTTTTATTACCAGTGAAATTACAACAGAAGTAATAATTGGATTTATTTTATTGTCCCTTTTGTCAACCAACAAAAGTCATAATTCATCCAGGACTACATTATAGAATCCATTCTTTTAAAGGACTATACTTCATAATACGAATTATAGAGTCTGTTATAGATCATAACTGACTTCATAATTCATATGTGAATTATGGAATTAATATCCATCAAATATGCCATGCATTCATGAACATTATATCGATAATTAGTGAACATCAATAGACATTTTTATTGAGACAAAAACAAATGTATCTTTTTGTTCGTAACAAAATTTGTAAGAAGGGGCCTTCAAACCTGCGTTTTTGGATTATATTGGACCCTAAATGCACTTTTTTGTGTTGTGGGGGTCCTAAGTAAGATTCTTCCTTTGAAATACTTACTATTAAATGAACCTAAACCTACTAACAATTGTTTTTACCTTTCTTTCCCTCTCCTAATATCTTTAAGGCTTTATTTATTAAATATTTGTGAGAAAATATAACATATGCTAATAATATTATAAAACAGCATGATATATCATTTTCCAATTATTTTGGGTCTAAAATCATCAGAGACAATGTGATATACTTGTATTTCATGCGCAATTAAGGTGGCAAATTATAAATCACTAGCAAAACAAGTCATAAGTTATGTTAAATACTAAGGTGGCTAAAAGGATTCATCCCATTCATACAAAGTCCAAGTTTAAGATTTCTAAACTCATTGCGAAATTCAATGAATAACTAATCAATTCCTTTTCATTGAGAGATTTTGATGGATGTTGGAGTATTCCATCAATTTTTCTCTTGTGAGCATGCCATATCAAGTTGTTTGCCTCGTTTTCATTGGCAAATAAATGTTTAAACCTCAATATTATTGAAAGATACCATAATATCTTCATGGCCCTTTAGTTTTCAAATCACCACTCTCCTTTTCCATCGCTTGCCTCACATATTAAACATGCATCCAACTCTTCATAATTGTTTTTGTACAATACACTATCATTGAGACAAGTATGTATCTTTTTATGCTTCAATTCCATTATGCACAATATCTTCTTTGCCTCAGACCATAGTAACTACTTGTAAGTTCATTTCCTTTCAAAGGAATCTCTTTTAACAATTTAAGCTATTCTTTGAAACTTGTTACTCTACCCATGTATCTTGCTTTCAAATTGAATAATTTTAACACTCTTGCTAACTACGTATATTTTGCACACCCAGGATACAAGGGTTTTTTTGAATCTTTGCATAAGTTATTATATTTGTGTGCTTGCTCAATGACTTCTTCACTAAGATCACTTAACATATCATTTATTTAATTACTCAAGTTAGTATCATTATCCTTGTACGATAAGACTCTATATACTTTCTAGGTTTGCGAATATAACTTATTTAATATATACATGTCAATTTTTTTTCTCATTTTGCTTTGATTATTCTTATTGACCTCAGTATGATACTTTAACAGCTTCTAAATAATCACTTTATAATTTACCTCAAAATGTACAAAAAGACTACAATCAAGATCCTAAGCACTTTTATTGGAACTTGCTTTAACTATTGTTCATGTTCCTTTTCTTTGGTTATAGCTCATAAGTCATAAATGTGCATGGATATATAAGTTATAAAGCACACAATTTCAATCGATGATCTTTTGCAGAGTTTGATGTTAATGATGGCAAGAAAACAAAGCAGAACAGACATAGTTAATGTTTCGGAGGTGGATTTTGATGATTTTTATTTAATTTGTCAGAAGCCTTAGAGTTGTTGCAATCTGATATGTTTCTCCTCACCAATAGTCTTGCAGTTTAGTGATACTCAAGCTTTTCCCACTTGTAATCTTAGGATGTGTTAGTGTCTATTCTTCTAGTAAAAAAAAAAAGATTTGTCCCTTCTCTCACTTGCTTTTCAGTTTGTGTTGAGCAAAGGAAAAACAAACACATTCTAACAAATGACAATGCAAGGATCGGTTATCAGATTTTATAGGATTAGGGGTGTTCACGAGACAGGACGGGACCAGGACACCCCCATCCCGTGTCCCGTCCCAAAAAAAGATCGAGATTGAATTTTGATCCCGTGTCCTGTCCCGTCCCAAAAGTCATCCCGTCCCGTTAAGAGTCAGGATGGGATCGGGACAAGATCGAGACGTCCTGTCATCCTGATAAATAGAATAATATTGAAAAAAATATAGATAATAACGGTTATTAAAATTTTAAATCATATAATTATTAAATTTAAAATCAAAACAATACAAGCACATAAATAACAATAATTTAAAATCAGTTATTGAATTATATTAATCACAATTACATATTATAATAACAAATACAAGTGATCTTTATGCTATAAGATTAGCAATAACAGGCAAGTCAAATACAATATCAAATCATTATTTTTCTACTTTAGTAAAGATGTACTAAACTAATTACTCTTCTAAAAATAAGCAAGAAATATATTATAAATAAAAGTTATTAAATAAATAGATATAAGAATAAATTATATTAATATAATTAATATAATATAAAAAAGATATCGTCATGTTTACTCCATGCCATTAAAATTATCAATATAAAAAAACTTTAGTTTTAAATAAAAATTGCAAGTATTAAAATTATAATTGATATAATTAATATAAGTATACATTATATTAATATAATTAATATATTTAAAATAAAAAATAATATATATAATATTCGGGACGGGACGTCCCGATGGTAATCCCGTGTCCCGTCCCGTCTCGAACCCCTTTCTGCCCCGTCTCGTAAAGTCTCGTCTCGATTATTTTCAGGCCAGGACAAGACCCGTCCAGATATGATCGGGACGATACCGGATCAGTCGAGACGGGTCCAGACTGAACACCCCTATATAGGATAAAGTCTGTAAATCTGTAGGGATTATTTTGAAATTTCTTAAATTACGGGGATCACAGAGATTTAAAATGGAAAACCGTAGGGATCAAATTATCAATTGCCCCCTTGCTCAAGTGCTTGCAAACTTTGTCCACATTAGATTGCAGTATATTATTTGTATTAACTCGCTTATAAAAGTAACCTTCCATAAATTTCGCATGTGAAGAAGAAATGTTAAGTTTTATGGTCTATTCAAAACGTGAGAACTCTGACGCTGCTATAAAAAAGCCCTAAAAAAAAAACAAGTGCATTAACAAAACTACCATTTAACGCATAAAAGTTATATAATCAAATCTCATTATTAATGTAAAAATTTTGTTAAGTAATTTAAAAATACATTTATAAATGTTCTTTGAGTCTAGAGTTATGCTCTGCATTCACTTAAACTTTCTTTTTATAAAAGAAAACAATCATTTAAAGAAAAAGATAATATTTAATGACATTAACTCTGTAATAATAATGTTAAATTGTAAACACAAGAATCTAGTTTAATAAATAAAATGAATAAAAATTAAAATGAGAAATTTTTTCATAAATATTAAGTAGTTTGTATTTTAAATTAATACTCCATTCGTTCAAAAATATAAGACATTTTTAATTAAATTTTACTATTTAATAAAGTAGTTACTTGTCTTCAAACTAATATTATTTTTTTATATTTATTCCTATTTAATAAAATGTTTTACCTTAAAGTAAATACAAAATAATTTACTTAACAGGGATGCTTTTGAAAAAAGTAATAATTATACATTGAAATACTAAAAATATCTTATACTTTTTAATATCCAACCTCACAAAAAATAATTTATATTTTTTAATAAAGAGAGTAATAATTTTTAAAAAATAATTTATATTTTAGACCGTTTCCCCATTTTTTATATTTTATAAACTCACATAAAGTGTGGCAATATGAAATAATGAAACAGATATTGGATGGCCCAAAAAAAAAAAATAAGAAATTACCAAGTAGGTATTGGTTGGCATACTTACCAACTACTCCCTCAATTCTTAATAAATGTAAAAAATTCTTCCTCCATCTTTTTATATAAAATATTTTGCTTTTAATTAAAAACATAACAACATTTTAATTTTACTTTTAATTATTATAAATAAAAAATAATTTTTTAAAATAAATTAATAAGAGTATTTATCTTTTTTTTAATTTAATGAAGATATAATAATTCATTCATTAAAAAATATACTAACATTTTTTTATATTTAAAAATAAAAAATTTTTAAAAAATTTTTATATATTAGAATGGAAGGAGTAATTTATTTTATAATTATTATGAAATGATAGTTATATTATCAAAATTATTAAAAATAGTTTATTTTTAAAATTTGTCTTAAGGATCGAACAGAGTGCACAATAAAAGCTAGGAATTCAATTTATTGTAGGTTACAGGGCGAAAAGGACGAAAAAGACCTTGAAACGAAAATCCTACAACTAATTGAAGACATGGATGCTCCATCAACCGGTAAAAGCGGTTGCATTAATTAGCTTAATCAAAGGTCTCCGATGTTACTAACATATCGTTTAAATCAATGGTTTTAATCCCTTTTCTCACCAAGACTGTACAATTATTGCACATCTAAACTTCAATTTCTATATACTTTCACATTCATAAAATTGCCATGATGTGGTGGCAACAAGACTGAGGAGGAGGAAGATACAAGGGAAAACACATGATAAACATCGAAAAATACATAATTAAAGAACAAAAACAAAGACATGTTTATATGAAGAGAACCATCAAAGATAAACTCGATCCGACCAGTTTCGTTACAATTTGGACACGCGCTTGTTGATAAAATCTCTCACTTCAGAAATTAACTGTGAAGCCTCGGGCAATTCTGGAAATACATAAAATGCATGAATGCTGTCTGGATACTCGATCAATTCAGCCTCTTTCCCTGATTTCTTTAACCACTCGTAGTACCTCCTCTGCCAATCCTGCAACGGGTCAAAACCACCCACGAACACGATCGTATCCGGATAATCCATCCCCGATATATCCACCGCATTCGGCCCGCTCACGTTAACCGCCTCGTGGTCTCGGTTGGATCCGTCCGGCAGCAGCACCTTCCATATCCAATCGGTCCTCTCGACTGAAACCAGCGGGGCTTTTGGAAGTCGGGTCTCGGATTCGGTCCTCTCCTCTCCTCCGAAAAATGGCTGGATCGAAATCTGCCCAATAACCCGCACTTTCCGGAGCCTGTTCCGGCAGACCCTAACTGCCACGTTATGGGCCAAGTTCCCGCCGGCACTATCACCGGCCAAGAAGCACTTCGACAAATCAGCACTATCGGGCAAATCGCCACCGTCTTGGTCGAGGAATTGGAGGACGTCAAACCCGTCGTCGTATTGAGCAGGATACCGATGTTCCGGGATGAGCCGGTAGTTCACAGAGATTACAATAGCGGGACACTTACGAGCGAACAGTCTGCAAACGGCGTCGTACGAGAAGGAAGCGGCTGACAGATACGTGAACCCACCACCGTGGAAGAAAACAATGACGGGAAGAGACGAAGAAGCGGTGACCAAAGTGGGTGTGAAAAGCCTGAACCAGAGATTTCGAGAGGGGTCGACGGTAACGTCGGAGGATTTAACACCTTTAATGGGTTTTGGATTGGGGCTGGTTTTGAGGTCGAAGAAGTTCATGACTCGGCGGTTGAGGGTACCGTCGGAACGGCGAACGGCATCGGTGACTGCAGAAACAAGGGAGAGCGAGAGGTGGGTCTTCCATGGAAGGATGGGCTTGGAGGTTGAAGAAGGCATGAGAGAGCGTTGGGTGCGAGCGAGAGTGAAGAAGCAGCGAAAGAGTGATTCTAAAGAAAAGTGAGAGATGTTCCGTTGAGGAGGAGCAAGTTGTGGTTGAGGCTTCGGCAGAAAATAGAAATAATCAATGAGGCTGTTGTGCGTTGACTGGACGCCTTGCTTGGAAACCAGACAGACTTTTTTCTTTTTCTTTTTTTGGGGAAGAAAAAGCTAAACAGAATTGCTACAGTTGGATATTGTCAAAATGTTTTGAAATTGAAAATAAGAGAGGGAATGACAAATAAATATCGCAAAAAATGGCAAATAAATATCTACTTTGAACTCGCTCGTGACATATCTAACGTACCTTTTTGGGCAAAATTAAGTTTTTGAGTTTGAGTGAAATAATTAAAAGCATAATTGTTAACAACAAGGCTTCTTATCTTTATAACCATACTCGTATTATTAGCAATTTTAGCTTAGATTTAACAAACAGGTTTTCTATTATTTTATAGGGGGTTAGAAATGTAATTTTAAAAAAATCATGACAGATAAATTTCTAAGAATTTCTGAGTAATTATCATATTTTGTGGTATTATTATGCCATTTGCCTGTTTTGGAGAATTTATTTATAATTTTTTCTTTAATATATAAATAAATTATTAATATTTCATCAATATCGATATTAATAGAAAATATAAAATCTATAACACTAAATACTACTATTTATAAGTAATTAATAATACTTCTTATCTTTTAATTTAAATCTCATACCATGCATAGGTTCAACTCTGTCTCTGGTCAAGTTTTTATATATTTAGCATATAGGATATGTTGTTGGTACGTCGAATATAGGATGTGTTAACTATTTGTAAATCACGAATAAGATAATTCATTAGAAATATTTTACTATTTTATATTTTTGATTTTGCTTTTTATTAATTTTACTTTTCTTGCGAGGAAAATTTGTGATGACCTGATTTTGAGGGCTAAGGATTACATACATGGTTTAAAGAGTATTCAATAAAAGTATTTTAATTATTTACCATCGAGGTATTTGTATTAGAATCGAATCTATTTGTTGGCGTTATAGTATTATAATTATAAATTTATAATTATAATATAAAAAATATCTGAATATATACAAAATTAATTAAATATAAATATACAATAATTACACTTTTAATAAATATTTTCATATGCATCGTATTCAGACTTTGTTTTTAAAATTAAAATTAACCAGAGTTAGAGACTAGACAAATAGGACAAAGGGAAAGAATTAGGAATTGAATCACTTGTCAAGCATTAATTTATTGATGCTTTAGTTATGGAATAATAACATTTATTTTGGCAAAGTATTTTTTCACTCAATGCTAGATTTATATTCCGAGGATATAGCATTGTGAAGGATGAGAACTAAGGAAGGATGGGAGATGACGTTTATGTTCCAAGAGATCAGTTTAATTAATGTAGATTTAAAAAAAATATTAAAAATAGTTGCAAATATACAATTAAAAAGTTAAAAAAATGAGAATTTTACTTGCAAATAAGATATAGGTTTCTTAAATCATTGCTAATGGATTGCTCTTATATTTATAATTGTCCCTGAAAAAATATAAGATACTTTTTAAATAAAATGTTTAAACATACAAGACATTTTTCATCTTTTAAGATGTAATTAATGATATTTAAAAAAAATCTTAAATAAGGAGTACAATTAATAATGTTTTGTAATCGATATATAATATTAAATAAAAATAAATATAAAAAAAGTATGCAATTTTAAAAACAATGAACTACCCATCAAGTGGTGTAATCTAGTTACAATCTAATTGTAAATAAACTAAACTTTAGAGACCTCACCATCAATGGGCCAAAAAAAGATTTTGATCTTAACTTAACAAAATTTATAGCTAAAACTTTCTCCCAATAAATTTCTTTTAAAATTTCAAATAGAATTTTTCAAAATCATCAAACTATTTTAGTTGTTTTTTTTTTAATGAAATCCTCAAAACATAACTCTTCAAAAACTAAAGCGTCTATGTTGTATAAGAAAAATCTAAAATCTCCATGACAAGATATATCATGGGATAAAAATGAAGTAATTTTAGTTAGTTAAATGTTAATTAAGCTTATACACCTATTGGAAAGGAGTTATATATCTAATATATTTTTCACCAACAAAATTAAATAAGTGAATTTTATATTAAAAAAGAAGTTAAAAGTGTTGTATGAATTAGATTTTAAATGTAGGTACATGGTGAATTGGTCAACAAGTGGGTATGGGGCAGCCCACGGGGGTAGATGGAGGTTGGAGGCTTTGAAAGTGATGAGTGAATAGGGATGGTTGGATTTGGTTATGTCATGTAAGCCATGCTTGAGACATAATGGATCGAGCATGGTATTAAAATTTAATTTGTCTTATTAACTAAATTGAGAATTTTGAATGGATTTTTTTTTTCTTTTATTGCTGATTCTAGATCAATATCATTTTAAATTTAGCAAAGATAGCAGTCTTTCAAATTTATATTTTAGTAACTTTATTTTGTTAAATTATTTATAGTTTATATATATATATATGAGTGTTTTAATTACTTGTGGATTAATACTTTTTTATTTTAATATTATTTTTTTAGAATTATATATATTTATATATGAATATTTTTATATATTTTAATTAAACTATATTATTTTTATGTGAATAGCTTGACCCGATTTGACCATTAATTTTTAAATCATTGTCTCAATTGATTTAATCATCGGTTCAATTTTAGTGAAAGGGTGCGAGAAGGATGAGGAAATGTCAAATGTTTATTTTGTTTTTAAGTTAAATAAAATTACTGAACTTAGAATAAGATTAAAAAGACTCATACACTTATTCATAGTTGATGATTGTATTGTGGTGTCATGCCAGGTAAAGGCATTCAAAACTGATCCAAACCGAAAGAAACTGATCAAAACCGAATAATAATCAAGTTTGCTTTGGTTTTTATGGTATGAGAATCGACTGGTTTGGTTCAAGTTCAGTTTTGAGTGCAAGAAACCGAACCAAACTGAGCCAAACTTGATTAAAAAATATTATTTATTTATTTATTTATAAAATATATAACCATCTATCTACTAAAAGCATTTTGTTTTGAATTTTTATAGTAATAGATAAATATTTTTAAAGGACTTAAATGAAAATACATAATATTAAATAATTATAATAATCATGCCATGACTATTATTTAATTATTTACAACTTAAAAGCTTGAGTATTCAATTTATCTACAAAAAATATTTATTTTAAATTTTGTATAATAAGTTTTTTTATTATTTATTAAAATATAGACACATAGAGAAACATTTTCAAAGGACTTAAATGGAAATACATAATCTTAAATAATTTTAATCTTAAAAATTTATATCAATTTTTATAATTAATTATCATTATCACATTAAAATTTTATTATATTTTTATACCTCTATTTATGAAAAAAAGGAGCCAAAAAGAATTAGATTTAATTTTAATACTTAGTACTATTATGAAAATGAAAAAAAGGAAAAAAAATAAATAAGTGCATTAAAACCCGATCCAAGCCTTAACCAAATCGAAGTAAATTAAAAATTAAATCAAATTAAACCGAACTTCATAAAATTCAATCAAATTTTAATTATAAGTAAATCAAATGATCTGACTCAGTTTGATTTTTGGCCAAAATCAAATCCAACTGAGCTTATAAAAACCTCCAGTGCCAGGTCACAATGCTAAAGGGAAGCATGTGAGGGTAGATGGCAGATAACAGCCGATATGAAATGGGGGATATGAAATGGGGGTTACAACTGATTCAACAAGTTAGGCACGCACATTAATATTCTCTTGAATTCTTTTTTCTTATCAATTAATTATTGATATTTTTATTTTGAATTTTATTCATTTTTTCATTCAAAACAAAATAATTAGATCCCGCTTGAAATGATGAATTTATATTTTGAATTTAAAATTTATGTACTAAAATTATTCCTTGCATTGTAAGAAAATGCCACGCCAGTAATTATCTTGCTTGCATGACACATATTTAAATAGTATTGAAAGATTATGGTTGAGATTTGAAATAATTATCGTAAATTAGGTATCATAATTCCAAATAAATTATAATAAAATTTTGTTTTAAATTGTTATTCATGAAATTTTATGTATCTCAACGATATCACGATATAAATCATTACTAATCCACACATATATATTTTTTGGGGCAACCCAATCGAAACATATCATTACTTGCCCATCAATCAATCTAATAATAAATAAATACTAATACTAGTAAAATGTCAGCCATAGCAATTTCTATATGCGCCGGTGACGTCTGATGATTCAAATCTAGGCTGTTGAAGTTTGGGCCTTGTTTCTTTCATCGTTTTTTTATTTCCCCAAATTACGCTCTACGTGATTAGTGTGTGCGTGTGCGTGCATATATAAAGCTTTCGTGATTCCTTTCCTTTTGGAAAATCACACTCGGGTCCCTTGGCATTAGCCAAGAGATAATTTCAGGGAAAGGTGGTTTTGGATCGTGATTTAAAAATCAGGCCAAATTGAACGATCAGATCAGTCTAACCATCAACTAATCATAATTTTAATTTGATTAGCATGTAAAAATTATTTTGGAAGTGACTTGGGTTGAGCCATTTTAGATCGGCGATCGAACTGAAAATCGAATTTGGTTTTTAAAAATTGAACTATTTAATTTTTTTAACAAATTATGTTAATTATTTAACATTATGTTGTATCATGTGACTTGTTAAGTCATAATAAGTTTAAAATATTTAATTTTAATTTTAAATTAATTAGCAATTTTATATTTATTTTTTATATTAAATTATTATATACATAAAAATTTTTTTAATTTAATTATGATGTCATTGGTTTAACTATTGATCCAATTCAATTGAACCATACAAACCATGAACCATTGATCTTTCTGATTCCATTCTAAAAACATTGGTCTTGGAAGGATTAGAACCTATAACTATATGTTTACAAAAAAAAAAAAAAGTGAACCACTAGGCTATTAAAGCCTTTTATTTATATATATATATATATATATATATTAAACTTGAAGGGAAAATGTTGATGAAATAGAATTTAGTAGTCAATAATATTTAAGGTGATTGTTATTTATGCAAGATAACTTGTCAATGGAGAATATGCACCTTTAATAGTAAATGATGTATAAGATATTTTTTATTTGCACATGGTGACTTGTCAATAAAGAATATGCATTTTTAGTAGTCAATGATATATGAGGTACTTGTTATTCATGTAGGGTAATTTGTCAATGGAGAATATACACCTATCTTTTTATTCGTGCGGGATGATTTATCAATGAAAAATATACACAATTAGTAGTTAATGATGTTTAGAATAGTTGTTATTAACGTAGGATGACTTGTTAATAGAGAATATGTACCTTTAATAATCAATCATGTATAAAATACTCGTTATTTGTACAAGGTGACTTGTTAATAAAAAATATGTACAATTAGTAATTAATAATTTTTAAGGCAATTGTCATTTGTACAAGGTGGCTTGTTAGTGAAGAATATGCATGATGCATAAGGTACATTGTGCATATTTTTCATTGTACATACACTAGTCAACAATGTATAAGATACATTATACGAGTACATCATTAATTATTAAATATGCATATTCTTTATTAATAAGTCACTTAGCATAAATAACCATTATTTTAAATATTATCAACAAGTTAAATTTTAAAGAAATGAAGATTTTAGTAAAAGAATATCAGACAATCAACTTTTGACAAGTTGATTTGAAATGTAACTAAAGAAATTAAAATCATCATCGATTTGTTGATTATTACCTAATGAATTGGTCGATTTAATTTTTTACGTAATAATTTTGATGTTAAAGTATGCCTTTAATCTTTTAAGCTTATATAAAATTTCAGTTATTTTAATTGTTGTTATTTTAAAAAATTAAATATAATATAAGAAAATATTTTATTAATATTTGAAAATTTAAAATAAAAATTTATTGTTGATAGAACAAATGTTAGAATTAAATGATTGAAAAGAAATTTTATAAAATTAAGAGAGTAAAATAAAATATTATATAAAGTTAAAAAAATAAATATATAATTTTTCCTAATTTTGACCTCTCACAAACGATCAAAGCTTTCAAGCTTGCTTGGACAATGAATGTAGCATAAATTAGCGGCGTTGGTGAGAACCTATTGTCTCATGGGTCATGAACGTTGCGTCATAAAAAAAAAAAATTGTTTTGAACCTATCCATACTGATCAATTTTTGCCTTTGGGTTAACAAGAGGCAACATAAATAATCACTTGACGCTCAGGAAGATGCCTGATTGATGCATCTAATTAATTCTTACCTTTTAAGTTTTATAAAGAGAGGAATGATCATAAACCACCTCTAAAACATGATTACCACAAACTCTTTCCAAGATCAGTTTGAGAATTTATTCATGCAAAGCAATCATGGGCTATATTACTCCAAAGAACGAATGCATGCAGAATAAATAAAGGGAGTTCAAAATGCTTACCATTCATTGTAGTGTTTATTACATATTATTAAGGTAAATTAAAGCAAGCTCTGAAACTATCATACTGATGAGGCAAATTAGAATGCACAAAGCAACCATTTCTTACTGATTGAAATAAACTATCATACTGAGTACAAGTTGACCATTGGCTGCGTACAAGTCTTGGATGTCTATCACACTATAAAATTCATATTCAAAATTCTATTCTAGAAACCGCTTCTTTATCTTGGGTTTTTAATTACCACATACCATGCTAATTATCTAGGGATTTTTTTTAAAATAAAGTATAAGGACCGGTTTAAAAATCGATATCTTCTTTTGGCCCTGTTTAATAATTGTAATCTTTAAGGGTCAAATTATCAACTTTCTTCTTGCCCAGAGGCTTTACAAACTTTATAGACATTAGATTGCAATATATTAATATATATTAAGTTTATTACAAAAGTAATCTTCTAGAAATTACTCATGTAAGAAGGAAATGCTACTTTGTATTATAATCAATTTATTCAAAACGTGCAAACTTAATTTGACGCTCCTTGGATAAAAAAGATAACATAAAAATAATAACTTGGCAATTACAATGTCAAATGCCCTTGAAAGTTCTAACATTTCTCTAAATCATCAGAAGACTTTAATCTCTTTCGGCTGCAATGTAATAAGGACAACAGACATTAGTAAAAATTTAAGAAGCACAAGTAACGCTCATGATTGTTGAAGTACGTACTCAACCTATATCAATACTCATGATTGTTGAAATATTTTTATTCTCATAATTTTATATTCTATGCACAATTAAAAAAAAACTAAACATAATATGAATTATAAAGTAGAGCCATAAGCCCATAAAATTTAAAGAGAAAATAGCAATAAAGACCGTTGAAAGAAATATATATATATATATATATCAATTCAAAATTATTTATTATCAAAACCTGAATGAATATTTATTAATTTAAATTTATTTTTTATCAATAAATATTCATTCACATTTTAACAACTCATTTTAAATTAATAACAGTTTTTTATTAAGCTTTTTTAATTTAAATTTTGATAATAATTAATATTTAATTAATATAAATTTTTTCCAACGGTTTTTAATTGCTATTTTTTTAAATTTAAACTTCAACTTATGTCATAATTACAGCTTGGACAAGCATTTATTGATGAAATCCTTGACTTGGGAAATCAGCTGTGAAGCTCCAGGCAATTCTGGATATACATAAAATGCATGAATGCTGTTTGGATGCTCGATCAATTCTGCCTCTTTCCCGGATTTCTTTAACCACTCGTAGTACCTCCTCTGCCAATCCTGCAACGGGTCAAAACCACCCACGAACACGATCGTATCCGGATAATCCATCCCCGATATATCCACCGCATTCGGTCCGCTCACGTTAACCGCTTCATGGTCTCGGTTGGACCCGTCCGGCAGCAGCACCTTCCATATCCAATCGGTCCTCTCGACTGAAATCAGCGGGACGTTAACAAGTCGGGTCTCGGATTCGGTCCTCTCCTCTCCTCCGAAAAATGGCTGGATCGAAATCTGCCCTATAACTTGCACATTCTGGAGCCTGTTCCGACAGACCCGCACGGCCACGTTATGGGCCAAGTTCCCGCCGGCACTATCACCCGCCAAGAAGCACTCCGACAAATCAGCAATATCCGGCAAAACACCGCCGTTTTGGTCGAGAAACTGGAGGACGTCAAACCCGTCGTCGTATTGAGCAGGATACCGATGTTCCGGTGTGAGTCGGTAATTCACAGAGATGACAATAGCAGCACACTTACGGGCGAGCTGTCTGCAAAGGGCGTCGTACATGAAGGAAGCGGCTGAACGATACGTGAACCCACCGCCGTGGAAGAAAACAACGACAGGGAGAGACGAAGAAGTGGTGACCGAAGTGGGTGTGAAAAGTCTGAACCAGAGGTTTCGAGTGGGGTCGACGGTAACGTCGGAGGATTTGACACCTTTAATCGGTTTTGGATTCGGGCTGGTTTTGTGGTCGACGAAGCTCATGAGACGGCGATTAAGGGTACCGTCAGGACGGCGAGCGATTTTGATGACTAAAGTGAGAAAGGAGAGTGAGAAGCGGGTCTTCCATGAAAGGATGGGCTTGGAGGTCAAGGAAGGCATGAGAGCGCGTTACGCTGATTATGGTGAAGAGTGAAGAAGCAGAAGCAACGAAAGAGATCAGATTATCTCAAAAACAGTGGAAGATTTGTTTTTTGGTCGAGGGAGACCAAGTTGTGGCTGAGGCTTAAGTAACAAGTGAGGCTGTTGCGTCATGATTCCCAAAAGGCAATTTGAACATGATGAGACAATTTTTTTTTTTAAAACAGAATTTAATACTGATCAATTTTGCCTTTTGGGTAACAAGAGGCAACATAAATACTCACTTGACGTTCAGGAAGATGCCTGATTGATGCATCTAATTCTAACCTTTTAAGTTTTATTAAGAGAGGAATGATCATAAAGCACATATAAAGCATGAATACTACGAACTCTTTCCAAGATCAGTTTGATATTATTATGTATGTTTGAGAATTTATTCATGCAAAGCAATCATGGGCTATATTTACTCCAAAGAACGAAAACACGCAGAATAAATAAAGGGAGTTCAAAGTGCTTAGCATTCACTGTAGTGTTTATGACATATTATTAAGGTAAATTAAAGTGCTTTGCATGTGGAAGCTCTGAAACTATCATACTGAGGTAAATGAGAATGCACTAAGCAAACAGATGTTACTAATTACCATTACTAATTGAAGTAAAATGACTACAAGCTGACCATTGGCTGCGTCGGTACGTCCAAGTATTTGATGTAAATTAAACTGTAAAATTTGTGTTCACAATTCCATTCTAGAAACGGCTTCTTATTTATGGGCTTTTACCATACCATGCTAATTGCCTAGGGATTTTATATATGTATATAAATAAAGTATAAGGATCAATTTAAAAAAAGGTAAAAATGTCTTAAAAGAATTTTTTTAAAAGAGTACAAGACATCCTTTTTTTAAAAAAAATACGTCACTCCGAAACTTTTAATAAGAGAGCAATGTCACTTTAAAACTTTTAAAATGGGTGTTAATTTAGACTAATGCTTAATTGTTAAGTTTTACTTTAACCAAAAATTTTACCTTGTACTCTTTCTCTTGTCCCCTCTTAATTGTTCCACCTCTCTATCTTCTTCCTTCTCCTCCTGGACATTTAAAGTCCACGATGAAATTCCTGTGTAAGAGGAGGATCATTCATTGTCGTAGATCATGGCGCCATATCTACACAAATTTAATTTTATCTCCTAATAAATTTTAGTCCTAGCTTGCTAAAACCATGTGAATAAATGAACCTCCCTTCAAGATGAATAAGTGCATGTTTAAATTAACTTTAACTTTAGTTAGAATCAGTCAAACTGAGGTTAGGATATAAAAAGCTCATTTTGTATTGTTTGGATTAAGAAAAAATTTCAACCTTAATTGGCCATAAACGAGCATTTTTTTTGAAAGCCCAAAAACCTGGCTTTAGCATCAGCGTTAACATTAGAAGCCATTGGAAGCATCAATGATGTTTTAAATTTTATGCTTTCTCTCTCCTCTTATCTATCTACCTATAAGGCTGTCTGATTTTTTGTCTTGTTGTGCGTGGTATTTTCTTCCTCCTATGACCAAGTCGCACCTCTAAATCTGCTTCACCTTCCTTTGCTTCACCTCTCGAGCTCTACATCTGGCACCTAACCTCGGTTGATCTCCACTTCAGTTGCAGCACCAAGATCTCCACGTTGAACTTCTTACAAATACGACTATGGATGGCGAGGAGCAATAAAACATGCGAGAACTTCTTACAGACACCACTTTCGGTAATAGGTTTCATGGTTCTGGTGATATCTCTAGCGGGCTTCATCGGAGCATGCTTCCACGTGCACGCGCTTTGTGGCTGTACTTGGTGGTGACGCTGCTTCTCATGTGACGCTAATTAGCTTGACACTGTTCGGGTTCATCGTGACAAGCCAAGGCGGTGGCATGGAGGTTATCGACAAGGCCTATAAAGAGTTTCAATTGGAGAATTACTCATTGTGGCTGAGGAATAGAATTAAGGACCAAAGGTATTGGAACACAATCAGAACATGTATTCTAAGTTCCAGGACTTGTGCTAAGCTTGCTTCTTGGACTCCTCTTGATTATATGCAAAGAGATATATCTCTGATTCAGGTACGTTTGTGTAAATATATATATATATATATGTTATAATCTCATTTCTCCTCCTTCTCTTCAATCACATCCATGGTTTTGTTATTCAATGAGCATATTGTGTTTGAGTGCCAGTCAAGTTTGTAACAAGTGGTTAATTAATTCAAATCTCGTCGAGTCCTAATATAAATATGGTTAATTAATTAAGTCAAGTTTGTAATAAGTTGTGATTTTCAGTTTAATATTTTTTACTTATTAGTTAGTCAAAAAAATATAAACATGCTTATTTAAGATAAAAAAAATATATGCTTATTTTTATCATTAAATATCTCAATTGACTTTTGAATCAAATTATTCAAAAGAATTTTAATTTATTTAACTGACATTTGAAAAAAAAATAGTATTTAAATATAAATCACATTACATTAACTGACTTTTTTTTCAATCTCCACTGTAAATTTTTTAATCCAAACACATTCTAAATGAACGAGCAATTTTAAACAGTTCATAGGAGATCACCATCATCCAGAATTCCAGCGTTCTTGAAGATGATTAAATGAACCTCCCTTCCTCTCCTTTCACCCTCATTTTTTGCAGTCGAGGCCATGAGTTATAGTTTCAGAACCATGAAAACCTAAAAAAAAAAAAAAAAAGGGAGTTAGATTCCTCACTACTGAACGCTGTGAAAGCAAAACCAAAGGGGAAAATAAATCAAACAAACAACAAATTTACCAAGCGAGTTGTAAAACCGAAATTTTCCAAAGATAACTGAACATTCCCCTTTTCAGTACTCCCAACAAATTTACCCAATCTCAGTAATCACAATAATGTATCATCGAAACCATCACTATTTGAAGGAAACAGGAATGGTTTTCGCAAAACAAACTAGACAATACCTCAAGTGATGGGATTCAACAAGCCCTTTTGGAGGACGCTGAAGTTTTGGGCGCGTGATGGCAACAATGACGCGGTTCTCATAGAAGGGAGTGAACTTGAAGGAGTAAACATTGAATGGAGTTTTGAATAGAGGCATGGCTTAGTGGTGCTGCCCCCACCAAAATAATTAAAGTATGGTGATTTGATAAGAGAGAAGAAGATGGAGAAGGGACGAATGAGAGAAGGACTCTCCCTTCAAAGAGAAGGAAGAAGGTGGAGAAGAGAAACAATACAAACAAGGTGGTCAAGGGACGAATGAGAAAAGGACACGTGTAACCTTTTTTGTTAAATTTATTATCACCCGCACTTTTTCACATTTAATGGTGGGGCGACGCTTTTTTTTTTTTTTTAAGTTTCGAGATAACATTATTTTTTTAAAAAAAAGTATTCAGTAATTTTTTTAAAAAAACTTTTAAGGTATATTCGAGCCTTAACCTTTTAAAAATTTATGAAACTTATATGAATTAACACGTCATTTTTTCTCTTTATGTAAGGATTGTGTTTTAATACTGATGGTGATAGGTTGAAAACAACATTGGCATGATCCAAGGACAATAAAATTTAGTACTCCCTCCAAAAATATAATATTTTTTAAAGAATTTGACATTAAAAATATAAAATATTTTTAATTTTTTAAGATATAATAATTATCTTTTTTTAAATGTCCCTATCAATAATAATTTTATATTTATTGTAGGATATTTAATAGGAGTAAATATATAAAGATAGAGTTAATTTAAAAAATAAATAACTATTTTATTAAAGAATAAAATTTAATTAAACATATTTTATCTTGAACCAAGGAAGTATGTGTTTGGATAATCTGAATTGACACAAAAGCCCATTTAAATTGAAGCTGCAAAAAAAAAAAACAGTTTTTGACTTTTGATTTTACACCAGACACAATTAATCTTACAATAAAGGGAGAAATTGTCTTTAAATTATAGATTCAAAAATATTTAAAGTATAAATTTATTTTTAATATAATATTATCTTTTAATATTTTAAAATAGTACCATGGACAAATATTGCCTTTTTCTCATTTGATTTTAGTCATGTCAATCCACATAACTCCACATTCAAAATCAGGCTCGTTTTTTCAAATTACCAGCTTTGCAGCTACATGAGTCCTAAACCAAGCAATTTTGTTTCTAAACAGAATTAAATGGTCAATTTATCTTTAAACTAATTATTAAAGCTGACTTTTATTAATAATAAAAGTCAGATTACACCATTTTTAAAAGATTAAAAAAGATTATATCAAAAATAAGTTTAGGATCTTAGGCGTTCTTGGATATATAATTTAGGATCAATTTACTTTTTTAACCCAATATTAAATACCCAATAATTATAGGCTACTTGAACACAATTCTGAGTTAAAATATAATTTTAAATCTCAATAAAATAGGATAATTGAAATACTGAATTAATTACCATCTAAAAATTACAAAAGGTTATATGTACACACTGAACTGGTCCAATATGTCGATCTAGCCCAATATGTTGAGCATCTGGGCCAATAGAACACCTCTAGAATAGCATGTGAGCCTTTACAATCATTTATGAAATTTTTAATTAAAATATATACTTATATTTAATATTTGATCATTTTCTAAATATAGTTGTCTCTGATAAAAGTACAATTGTGAGTAATAAAAAAATATACATTATTTATAGCATATCTTTAACTATTAAATTAAAATAAAAACCTTTCCATTAAAAATTAAGGTCAGTTTTATAATAATGTTATTAATTATTAAACTTTGACGAATTTGACATTATAAATTTAATCATTATTCAAAAAAATTAATCGTTGCAGCCCCAATAGCGGAGCATGATACATTCAACTCCAAATAGATGCGAGATTATAATGAATACTTTAATGGCTTCACTTCAGAATGTTATGTTACTTCTATGATCGATGATTATAAAATTCTAGAATTATAATAACATTAATACATTATCATATCGTAATTACGATTGCAATTCTTATATATATATATATATATATATATATCTCGTGGTAAAAACTATAAATTCATCATTTATTTTGTTATATTTTTACTGTGAAAATTTTCACTCAAAGTCTAAATAGTATGCATTTGGTAACATAATGAATATATATTTAATAAATAAATTTATGATTTAGGGATTAAATTATATACTGACACTTTATTACTAAATTATATATTTATAGCATGTAAATGTTTTGGGTATTTTTTTTTGAAAATAAAAAGTTATATTTAAGTCTTGTCATACATAAACAAATTTTACATTTTATTATTCACATACTCACATTTTCACTATAATCTAAATCAATTAGGTATATAAATAAATTAGGTTAACAATACATGGAACTTGTAAAAAAAAAAAGCTATGTGCTAAAAATGAATGGAATGGATTGAAAAAATAAATATAAAAATAAAATAATTAAAATGTAAAGGGGAATGGATAAGTTATATTCATAATGAGAAAGGGTAATTCAATCCATGTAATTGAGAGTCATAGTTTATAAAATTTATAGAGATTGTAATGATTTTTTTTGTATCTGTGATATATAATATTAAATTTTACCTTACTATGAAGAGAAATGATTACTTAATTACTTTTAATTTTTTTAATCTATTTCATCTCAATTTTTTCTTGCAACCACAATTATTTTTGTTAGTTTAATATTGGAACTAATTACAAAGTTTTTTATCTTTAAAGGGGTGTTTGGATGGAAGGGAGGGGATGGAAGCCCCCTTCCCTCCCATCCCCTCATTTGGTTAGGAGGAGGAGAGCCTTTTTCCCCTCCTTTGATTAGGAGAAGGGGAGGAGAAATTTTTAAATTTTCCTTTTCCTCCCCTCCAAAGCCTCCCCTCCAACTTGAGGGGAGAGGGGTCCCCTTTCCTCCTCTTCCCTCACCTCCCCTCCCCTCTTCTCCCTTTCCCTTAAATCAAATAAATTCTAATTTGATTTTAGAAATGTTAAGTTTCTTTATTGAGAGAATTTCTATTAAAGACTCAGGAAGAGATTTAATTTTAAATGAGTTCAAAAATATTTTAAAATTTTAATTTAGTCTAGGCGAGAAAAGTTAAAAAAATTTTGAAGATGAAAAGATCAAAATGCCCTCAACCTGTTACGCAAAATCACTAGTTGTTAATTTTAGTGCTCCACTTATTAATTTACAAATATAAGTTGTAAAGTACATAAGTTGACATGTCAATAATTATACAAGATTTATAATAGTAGTTGTTAAATTACTAACTTGACTTATAATTTACTAACATCAATTGTAAATTCTAGACAAATCTTGTAATTTACTAACATCAATTATGAATTATTGACAGGTCTTATAATTTATAATTAATGTTAGTAAATTATAAGATCTATCCGGAATTTATAACTAAGGTTACTAAATTAACAAGTAAAATTAGTAAATTAACAATTAATGTTACTGACTGTTTGATAAATAGATGTAATTTACAAGTGATATTGATAAATTAATAATTGCAGTAAAAAAATTAATAACTAGTGATTTTGCATAACACGTAAAAAGTATTTTTATCTTTTTAAGGTTGAAATTCTTTTAACTTTTCTCCCTCAAGTTGAACTGAAATTTTAAAATATTTTTGGACACACTTAAAATTAAATTTCTTTTCAAGTCTTTAAATGAAATTCTCCATTCTTTATTTGATCCAATTATCTTCGGCTAAAAAAAATCCAATTATCATTAATATTATTTATTATATAATAATAAATTATATACGTGTGTGGTTTTTTGCTTATTTAAAAAAGAAACGATAAAGAGAGAATAACAGTTAGGTTTTAAAATATTAAATTAATAATAATTATGCCTTTGATAATTTTTGAAGTGCATGCCCATGCCATTTCACTACAACTCATTGTCCCTCTTGCATGGTCAAATTAGGACTTAATTTTGCTGCTTACTATAGTGATGAGCATTAACTATTTAAATTAAAATTTAAATGATCTAAATTTGAAGTATTATTATATATTATATTTATAAAAATAAAAATTTATAAAATTATAAAATAATTTTAATATTTTTTTTATTTTTAATTGATATGTCAGATTGTATAGAGTATATATGAATAGTTAATATATATTAATTATAAAAAATTTTTATATTAAATTTAGTCATCTAAATTAAAAATAAAAAATGTATTAAAATTATTTTACAATTCTTACTAATTTTTATTTTAATAAATATAAAATAAAAATATAAAGTAATTTTTTCCAGATTTCATTAGAGTGATTAGGATCGAAACCAGTCTCAGTCAAATTGGCAGCGAATTAATAAATCAGGGGTATTTTTGACCAAACAAAAAGTAGGGGTATACTTGACTGTAGTGAGAGTGACGGTGTGGGGATTCTCAAATTTCTCTCTCTTTCCATTTCTTTGAGAATCGTCTCGTCTCGCCTGGAGTGAGGAAGTTGTCGTCGAAGCTGGAGGTAGACGATGAGTATCAGGAAGTTAAGTGCTGAAGAGTCTCTGACGCTATACTCCCTGCTGAAATCGGAGCAGCGTCCACTGGACGATGTCATCGCTGACTTCAACTCTAAGATCTCTCGCCCACACCATTTCACTGTCTGCTCAAATATCGTTTGGCTCTTGGAGGCGAGTCAATCCAATCCCTCGTCTTTTTCTATTTCTTTTCGTTTTTAGCACACACGGGCATATGATTGAGTTGATTGAGTTCTGGGCCTTAGGATTTTAGGGTTGCTTGGCGATTTGTGGAGAAAATGGTAATGGATGGGTTTTTGGGAGGTTTGTGCCGTCTGGAATTTGATGTTACGACAATCTTTTAGCTGAACTACGCGACGATTAGGAGTTTTTTATGTGAGTTCCTTAACAGAGAGGTCACTTGTTTTGTTCATATGCATGGTGCTCCATTGAGATGCGGCTGTGAGGGCTGATGAGGCCTTTGAGACATGGAATGATTTAAGCCATTTTTTTATCCACTTCTTATCAGGATACCTTGTTTACACTTTCTTCAACTTTAAGACAGTCAGGTGCTGATTCTTGCATCTAAATTTATGTAAATGTAAACATGTCAAGTTTGGACATGCATCCGCATGCCAAAAAGGAGCAGTCTCTTTATTTTTAAAGTTTTCTTTGTTTCTCCATTTTGGGTTCTGTTGGTCATACTCATTACCATGTTATTGTATGAAGATAGTTGCTCCTTTGATGAGAAAAAGAATCCATATGACACGGCATAAATATATCATGCCTGGTCATCTTTCTCTCAGCGGCTTGTCAAAATTTATAGTTCCATAGTTCATGTCATTACCGTGTCAGTGCATTGCCTCAACTAAATATGTTATTATCATTATTTAATATTGTTTTTCTTTATTGCTTCTTAATTCCCCAGCTATTTAGGGGGCCATAGTAGTAATGATTTGTCTGAATCTCTAATGGGCAGGACAAGAAGATGCTTAAATCCACTGAGCGCTTGGTTGCTTTTGCTATCCTCCATCAAGTGTACTCGTCACAGAAGCCTGCTTCAAATCCCTTCATAATCTTAATCATAAATGTAAGCAAAATTTTATTTTTGCTGCATCCGAAGTTGTCTATTATCTTTCTCTATGCTAGTTAATGGAATGAGAAAACTAGTTTTACTTCATGTCTTCTCTGATCCTCACAGTCACTTTTTTCATTCCCTGTTAGTCTTTAACTAAGCCAACCAACTCTTTCGTCGGGCAATATTTAGTTATGAAATTAGATACAGAATGCTTAAAGTAGACTTTGATAGATATTGAACCCAATATTTCTTCCCCCTTTCCCCCCTTTCTCCTTTTTTTGACATATAGATAATGGAATATCAGTGCACTTTATCTATTTTAGCTTCATCTGACTTAAATAAGGCCTTATAATTGAAATTAGTCACAAAATGAAGCTGTTTTAGCTCATTGGTACATTAACGATATCCTCATTTAAGTCGTTGAAGGTCCTTTTGAAAAATGCACCCTCATATTTTGTAGGCATCACAGGCTACAGACAGAATGTTTTGTAATGGATATAATGATTGTGACTCAAAATTATTTCATATCTCATTAATTTAAGTTTGCTAGTTCAATAATGTTATGGGACTTTGCTTCATCAGGACATGCCACCATGTATAGTGAATTTTCTCGATATTTCCTTTCAGCAGGTTACAATTATGATAACTAAGCAGAAGGCATTCTGCTGATTAAGCAGCTATTATTGATACTAAAATGCAGTGTTTAATATCACTTATATAAAAAATGCAGTCCTTCTGGCATGATGGTACTTTTAAGCTGGGTTTCAAGCTTTACCATTTTATAATCTTTTAGTGGTCAGAAATAAATACTGCTATAGCATGCATGAATATAGAGGTATGAAAATGGTGTTTATAGTAGGAAAATAATAAATTTGTGCTAATTTGGTTGTTTGATTTGTAGTTATTACTTTAGACTCCTATACTATAAGACCTTTTATATCTATGCATTCCTCCAAAGCCCCTTTCATGAATTTAGGTCATGAATTTTCTGTTAGCTGATATGTTGTCTAATCCTGGTCATGACTCTTGATGCCTTCCACTAAGGCTTATATAATCATGAACATGAAACTACTTGTCATATAGACGTTTGAGTTATATTTGTTTTGGCATCTTCTTGGTGATGTGCCTTTTGAAATTCTTGATATGTTTAGCAAAAGCAAGTATGTAAGGATTAATGGTAACTAGTAACACTCAATATGTCGTTGCAGAAAGTAGAAGAGATTTTATAATCTTCCAAGCATTCTAGCTTGTCCTCCATTTTTGTTTGTTTTATTTTATCATTTTTGTTGAGTTCTTTGCTTGTGTTTCTTTTAATTTAATTTCATTATGTAACTGCTGACGTAAGGATCATTTATAATTGAACAGGCCGCCTGTGATGATGCAGCTGAAAAATTTGAAAGGGCATTTATTCTCCAGCTGTTAGGCATTGATGGCTCAAACAACAGCAGAGAGGTTATCTTGTGTGAATTTCTTTATTTTCACTAGTAACATTTTGGAAAAATTAATCATTTGACCCATGTAGTTTTGACCTAATATTAATTCAGTTCTTGAACTTTGACTTATTGTAACTCAACTCTTATAGTTTTAATTTGGTTGTAACTCAGTTCTTAAATTTTACTTCATGCAATTCAGTCTATAGTTTCAATCATTTAAATATTGGCTCTTTTATTTTAAAAAACAAAATACTTTTAATAATTATAATATTTAAAATTAAAAGATTAAAATTATAATATTTTGAAGTTTTAATGTTTATAATATTTATAATTTATAATATTAGTAATAAAATTATAAAGATTAAAATAATTTTAAAATTTATTACTAATATTTTAAATTATTAAACCCTTATATTAGTAATAAATTTTAACATAATTTTATATATATAATTTTATTACTAATATTTTAAATATTATAAATGTTAGAAGTTCAAAATATTTTTTAATCTTTATAATTTTATTTTCTAAAATATAAAGACTAATATTTAAGTGGGTGGAATTATATGGACTAAATTGTAAGAGGTTAAATTATGGATTGAGTTACAATCGAGTTAAACATATAAGGATTGAGTTACAACAAGTCAAAATTTAGGAACGTACAATTGGCTTAAAGTTACGGGGACTGAATGATTAATTTTTCTTAACATTTTTTCATGTCTTATGTTCTTGATAATGGGTTACTCTCTATATTGGTCCATCATGCACGTGGCATGTTGCAGTGTTAGATCCTGTGGTTGATTTTGTATTTTTATTTGGGTTCTCTTTCACTCTGAAACTAAATCTTAGTAGGTGAATTCATATGGCGTCATGTGTTTGTTTTGTTGCTTTTAGTGTCTTCCTTTTTTCTCCTGGAGATGGCTTACATTTGCAATTTCTGATGCCTTTTTTCCTTGGCTGGAGGATTGCAGTTTCTTAAGCAGTCTGCTGCGGATTATGTGAAAGGATTTGATCAATCATTGCATGTAAGCTACATATAGATCTTTAGACATTTCAAGTTATGGAAGCTAAACCTGCTTTCTGAGGCGGACATTTTAAAGGAAAATATTTAAAATAATTATCTGTTCCCTGTGATTCCAGGTTTTCCCACGACTAGATCAGTTGCAGCAGCAGTTTTCTGTTAAAGAGCACCGTGACCAATATGAGTGCTTATTTAAAGATAATTCGGTCAAAAATGCAGTTCCAGACCCTGATATACCACACTTTTGTGATGCAAACTCACCAGAGTATGGCCCCATATATCCCATATATCGGAGTTTAACTTTTTGTTTGTCTTTGTTTCTTGCCAACTGAAGGTTCGATGAGAAAAGGATATGGAAAGTTTGAGTATAAGAACTTCTCAAACAAAATTGACAAAACAGTCTGAAAACTAAAGTACGTATGTCCTAAATAATATATCTGATCAATGATGGAGAGCTATCCATTCTCTATTAACGTAAAAAAAAAAAAACCAAATCCCTTACAAAGACCGTATGTAGAGCAACAAAGAGAAGAAAGAAAAGCAAATCTGTTTGATAATAAATCTATAGGCATAGAAATACCCTTGGAGATGTGTGGCATTCCTCCCCAAATGATAAACCTGAAAATCCCATAAATGGCACGTTGGCACAGACTTATGCTTTCCTCCTTGTTACCAAACCCTTTAAAATGAATTTGCAGTGGAGTGTGAACTCTAATTTTCTTAATTTCATGTGTTGTACCTTACATTAAGCTCTTACTGTAGGTTTGATGTGCAACCTGGAACGAAAGCTAAACTTGGATCTGGAGATAAGGATGAGGCAGTAGCTGGGCTGCTGTCAAATCTATCACTGGAAGGATTGAGTCCTCACTGGATCAGGCCTCGTCCGCCTCGACTACCGGTACAGGATGGGGAGGTACTGATTTGAATTTGTAAGATCTAATTTAAAGAGACTAATGATATGAGCTACTTATGCTCGGAAAATATTTTCTTCAGCTAGTTTGGCTCAACCCTCATGACAACCATGAACTTCAATGGGACTATGGTATGTGTGTTGATACTAGCAGAGGGGCAGCTGTAAGGGACTTAATTGCAAAGGCCCTGAAAGGGGCACTTGCGCCAGCGCAGCAAGAGGTGATTGCTATTTCCATGATAATGAATGATGCAGGATTTAAACTTAGAACCTTATTAGTCAGTAGTGCTACTATGCCAATTGGTTCTTATGATGCTCCTGTGTCTAATTATTTACAGCCATGAGTGACTATCTTAAAAGTCACAAATTTACTTGCTACTTTTTTTTTTGTCCTGACTTCTAAATTTGTGCCAAATTTGTGCCTCACTGATTAAACATAGATCCCATGAATTTGCACAACATTTGCCAAGATTAACAATATTGTATCTGTGGACCTTGAACAGAGAATATTAGTTTTTGATCACTCTGGACCATTTGTTTTCGAACTTGAAGAATTGGTGGAAAATTCTGTTCAGATCATTTGGCTTGTGCCAAAGAAAAAATTATGGTTTACTTGAATTACCTAATGTGATCGGTTAACAGATATTAATTTCTGCAACTTGCTATGTGAAAAGTGATACCTGTTCCTTAATCTATATGAGTTCAACTGTTTGACAAAGAATCAAATGTTTGTGCTTTTGTTAAACAGCAAGTTTTGGTGGAGCTGGCAAATGATCCCAAGCTTGTATATCACTGTGGATTGACACCCAGAAAGTTGCCAGTAAGTGGACCTGTAATTACTCTGGCAAATCATGTCACTTTCTAGGTCTTCATATTTTGTTCTCATCACTTTTAACAGGAATTGGTGGAGAACAATCCCCTTATTGCAGTTGAAGTTTTGACTAAGTTGATAAATTCTCCAGAAATTGCAGAGTAAACATCTGTCAATTGATATACTGCCTGCTTCCTTTCTCTTATGCGATGAATCTCCCAATCTCATTCTATTTATGTGTACAGATACTTCACAGTACTTGTGAATATGGAGATGAGTCTTCATTCCATGGAAGTCGTGAACAGGCTGACAACAGCAGTTGAACTTCCTGCCGAGTTCATTCGCCTGTACATAACTAATTGTATATCATCCTGTGTGAACATCAAGGTGCCTCCGTGAACTTTTCATTTTCTGCAGAACCTAAACACTGATTTTGCACAAAAGCTATGCTGAGTCTGACATACTGATATGCTAGCTTCGAGATACTGGAATCCTGCTATATTCTTAAATCTCAAATAATAAAATAATAAAATATTGTAGATTCTTTCAGAATATAAGATTGGTTTAATGGCATCCCTTTTTGCTTGTATTATAAAGTTTTGCTGTTTTAGTTTGTTTTTATTTATCAATGGTATACTGCATCCATAGGAGTTATGTTCATAGAAAGATGTAAGCTCAAAATTCTATCAGTACCCTTTTTTCTATCTCTGCATTGCATGTGTTTTGCGGGCAGGTAGCAGCCTATTAAATGTTGCTTGATTTCTGCACTTTGTGCTGTGGCACTAATAGGCATTTACAATCTACTCTTTCTTCCAGGATAAGTACATGCAGAACAGGCTTGTGAGACTTGTATGCGTATTTCTTCAGAGCCTTATTCGAAATAACATTATTAATGGTAAGTTTATTCAGTTTTGCAGAAAACTGTTGCTCATTAAAGCAATTTGAGTATAAATGTTATGTGGCATTAATTACGATTGGTTTGTATTAGTGGAAGCTGCTAAGTAATTGTAGTAATTCTGTTGCATAACTTGCAACCCTAGTTTATAAATATGGGACAAGGAAGATGCACATTCGTGAATGATTTGAATAGAGTGGTGATTTTGCTTTACTCTGTACCTATATGTTACTCACCTAGCAGTGGTGATTTTGCTTTACTCTGTACCTATATGTTACTCACCTAGCAGACATCTGTGCTCACTTTCTTATCAAAATCTCATTGACTGAGGAAAATGCTGGTAATTGTTACCTTGCAGCATTTCAAATTGTACTTGGAGCACGTTAGGGGATGGATTTGGAACTTCAGTGTCAAAAATCTATGGATGGCACAATCTATTTTCTAATATCTGATTACTGGAAGGGGAAAAGTTGGTGTGCAAGACAAATTGTCAATAAACAACTAGTTCTGCTTTTGGCAAATTGTAGCTATGGTCTAGGTAAAAAAAAAAAGAAGTGTAAATACAACGCATGAAATGTGTTAAGATTTGTTGGAAGCCCCAAAGAGAAGATTGAGAGGACAAAGAATCAATACATCAATTTATATTCACAAGTTATGAATGGCAAGGCCCACCTCAGACTTTGTGCCAAGCATGATATTTACAGTCTAGTTAACTGAAAATAGCTATTGAAGTTCTTGCTGGCATATATCTTCTTTCCTGTTGCTTTCCAAAGTTTTAAATACTCCCTCTTTACAAAATGTAAGGCATTTTTAGTGTCTCAATGTGTAATTAATGCTTTTTTTTTTTGAAAAATGTCCTTAATAAATAAATCATTTTATATATATTTTTAAGTAAAATGCCTTATTAAATAAAGGTAAATATGAAAAAATAGTGTTAATGTAAAGACAATTAACTAATATTTTTGAGGTGAGATTTAGTTAAAAATGTCTCATGTTTTTAATGGAGGAGTGCTTTTTATCCTTTCATGTGCACCTTTATGATTCATTCTCTATGTTTATTAATTTTATAAACAAAGCATTCGTTTGCATTGTGCTTGACGGAATAGGCTAATGTCCTGAAATCCTTATATTGTTTTGCTTGGTTTTGATAAGTTAAGCTCTGGGCCGTGTGAACTTTTTATGCATTGTCTGCTTTCTTGAAATCAAGTTGTGAAATTGATTGCACTGGTGCGTTGAATAGAGATTGAATTTATGAGGCATGTTACTGATTTGAGAAACGATGCCATCTTGCAGTGAAAGACCTCTTCATCGAAGTACAAGCCTTCTGCATTGAGTTCTCAAGGATCAGAGAGGCAGCTGCATTGTTTAGGCTCCTCAAGTCCATGGAAGGATGATCTGTGACCCCTCGAGTCTTGAATTTCCCCTTTTCGGTTGTAGATAAATATGTATATCATTCAGACTCAGCTCTTGAGCGGTTCTCATTTTCAGCTATGGACAATAAAGATAGCAGATTTCAGTCTGTGACTTCCTCATCCATATTTCTATTTCATAGGGAGTCAGGAGAAGTGGGCAGTTTTTCGTTCTTTGAAGCTATCAGCTTAGATGCATTTTTTCCCCATGAACAAACCATCTAATATCTAATATTACTAGCTATCAGACTGAGCTGTGTTGGGTAACAATTCAGACCAAAGATTTTATAAAGGTATTGATCGTCTTACCTCAAAATAGCTGATGGTACTGTTGCTTCCAAGCTTAGTTCCATTTAATAGTAATGTTCGAGCTGAACATGGGGTTTTGTTTGAATTCATGAAGACGAGGCAACTACACGAGTGGATCTAAACGAGTGCAAAGGGGACCGTTTGATTTTTAGTGGAAATTAAAATTTTTAGTTAGTTATGAATCAATGTTCTGAAAACTGAGAGGGTGTTTGCATGTTGTTCTCCCAAAACCATGGTTTGAGGGGGTAGAATCGATTAACGTAGCTTATCCAAACAAGCACGGAGCCCTTTTGTTTTCTTCTGTTGTATCCTTTGTCTTCACTGAATTTATCATCAACCCCCCCCCCCCCCCAAAAAAAAGAAACAACCACCCCAAAAAAAACACCAAAAAAAAAAAATTCCAGCCACTTCATATACGTTTACACACACACTCTTGCAGTCCCAACCTTTTCTTCTAACGCCACCCACTAAACCTATGTATGGAGAGATAATGGGAAACTTTGGGTAAGAGTGATATGTACCTTCTTCCTCTTCCTATATATTCTGGTCAATTTAAACACTAGACTCCACAATTTTGTTTTTAAAAAGCTTGAAATAAACTATGAATATTGTCATCATTTTCTTTATCAAGGTTTTGTTCTACTGAATTTTTTTAATAAGGTTTTTAACGGGACAATATCAATATATAGCGTACTGTTTCATTTATTAGGATATTTTTTTCTCAAATTTTTTCTAATAAAAGTCTAGTGAGACATAATATTTGTTTGTGGACAATTAAAAGCTGTTATATGCATGTTCATAACATTTTTCAACTCTTTTGCTATGCTATGTTCCATAACCTCTCTGATAAATGGTTTTAAGCAACTTTTCTTATGTTTAATATCCAACAATTCAATGGTTACGAATCATACACTCAAAGGTTAAAGAGAGTATATTTATGTTGATTAATCTTGTAATTTATTCCAATAAAACTCGTATTCTTTGTCACCATTATTCTCACATTGTTTGTCTTTATTATTCTCTCATATTTTGTCATTTTCATAACAATAAATAAATAAATAAATATATGCACATTAAAAATTTGGCCCCCTAAATATTCATACTGGGTCAGCCCCTAGTTCATTGAACAATGAGCCCAATCCAATTGGAGGCTGATCAAATTCAGCCCAACTTGAAACGCTAAATTCTGGGAAGCAAATCATAGAGTAACCAACTACAATATGACCGAGTTGAGACTAAGAGTGTGTTTGGTTTGAGGCAAAGAGTGGGAAGAGGTGGGGTTTTAATAAAGGGGAGGGATTTGATGTTATTTTATTTGGTTTAGGGGAGGGGAAAAAAAATAATTATATATAAACAATTTTATCCTTATTTTATTAGTTTTGAAATATCAAAAAAGTGTATTTGCATTTTCTAAACTTATTATGAAGGGCATATTAATTAGGGTATGAACAAAATTATCCCTTCTCTCCCAATCCCCCAATTTGGAGGGAAGGGTTTGGAGGAAAGGGAGGGGAGATTTTAAAAAATTTTCCTCCCCTCCACTCCAATTTTTCAAACCATATAGGGGAGCAAAATTCCTCCCCTCCAATCAAACACCCCCTAAAAGAAGGAAGAATAGCAATGAGGGTCTCACAAAAGAAAGTGGGGAAGCTGAGAGTCTTGTACATCTATACATAAGTGAATTGATAAACCTTTACTTGTACATAGATAATATTTTAAATATATTTGATCCTTACTGCAATTTGTTCTCTTTTGAGAATCCTCACTATCATTCTTCCTAAAAAAAAAATTGAATGTATTAGAGGCTGAAAATATCTTGTGAGTCAAGGCACTTGAAAATAAGTAAATCACAAGGCTTCCGAGTTACTTCATTAAAAAAAAAAAGTGAGGAAATGTGATTTTATAGAGATTGATATTAAAATGATAGAGTTTTTTTTTTAATGTATGTTCAGACTTAAATTTTTGACAGTTTCTTGAAATATATTATTTGCATGGTACATACCATAATTTGAATACTTTATAGGTTAAGAAAACATGCATAAAAATACATTAAAATACCTTGTCAATGTAATGCTAAAACTCGTGTGTGATCATCCCATTTGATTCAGATTTTAATTTCTGAGAAAGAAAAAGTTGCTGCACTTGGAAAAGTAATTGGTCCTTTTGAAGCTGGCCAGTCTCCATATTCATTCTATTTATTCCACATCGGTGTTGTCAGAATCAGCTTATGTCCAGTCTGGTTAACCCCCACTTTGGTAAAAAGTGAGCCGGTTAAGAACCCGGAAAAACCTCACAGAAAACCTGTCAAAGCCGGCCAAGAACCGGTTTTCATATTTATATTTTTTTAAAAAAATATCTCAATAACTCAAAATTATGTTATCTTGTATTTTTATTTATCTTGTAATTGGTTTATATATATGATTTATTAATTATTTTAGTTAATAATAAAAACTTATTTTGGTTTCATTGGACAATTATTGTGACATATTTGATGGTTTTGATTATTTGTAATAGATAATAAATAGTTCTATTATAATGTTGGTACAATTGCTATAATTTTGATGTTTATGATAAGAATATAATTAAATACTTTCAACAATAATTTTATTTGACATACATAATCTTTAAATTTTATTATTTTAATTGAGACTAGTAAAACCATAGTCTAACCATGATTCAATAAACCAATATCCTGACTAGCTCAATACTTGGTCCTGTTCTAACAACATTGTTTAACATCAAGCTAGTATAACACAAAGCAAAAAATAAATTTTGTTTAATGCTCTGTTTGGTTAGGAAAAAAATATTGAAGAAAAGAAAATATGAGAAGAAAATAAGAAAAAAAAAATTTCTCCTATTTGGATAGCAGGAAAAAAAAGTGAGAGGAAAAAAAGTTGTGAAGAAAATAGGGTGTGAGACTCACAAACTTTTCTCTCCTAAAGTGAGAAGATTTTGGAGTAAAATTTCATTCCACCATCTACCCTTCCTCTCCCTCTTATCAGCTTAAGGCTAGACACATCTATTTTCATTTTGGTGCATAGTAGTGTTTAGGAGCATAGTTATCAAACTCTTGAGCTAACTTTATGAGTTTAATGTTTTTATGTTCCTAGCTTATAAATAGAGTCAACTTATTTATAAACTCAGACTATATACAAATTCAGTTAAACTTATGAGTTTACCTTTAAATTTATCGCTTTTACGTTTTTAACTTATAAAATCTTGTCAATTAACTTACAAACTCGGATTAGATGCAAACTTGGTTAAACTTGTTAAGCTTATCATTTTTTTAATTGAACGAGTTAAGTACATACTATAAAAAATTTAGTTCATAAAAGTTATAAGATCTAGTTCAAAGAAAAAAAAACTTGATATGCGAAAACTAATATTAATAAAAAAACAAAAATATCAAAAATAAGTTTCTCAATTTTTAAATTTTTATATCTTGTATATGATAATTTATCAATGTAGATAGGTTTAATTTCAATGATTTACATTTTTAATATATTTAAATTAAATATAATTATATTTTTATGGCTATTTATTAATAGAGATAAATTCTTATGAGTTTAATATATGAGTTTGTGATATGAATTTACTTTCCTATCATAAATTTATTTAAATTTGTGAGCTTAACAACTTTGTTTAAGAGGCTCCCATCTTTAATCAACCCAAGCAGTATCATCATCTTTTGGCTTTGTCTTCTTCTCTAGTGTGTTCCTCACTACAATTCTTCAATTCATGGCTTCGTCATCTTCATCTTTGAATGGAAAGTAAATTTTAATAAAAGTGCCCACTTTTAATTTGTAAAATGTAAAAATAACATATTTTTACTAAATTATTTGATTTTAAAATGTAATATGAAAATGCATTGTTAACTACTAATTTGATTTTAAATTAATTTAATTATGTTAATTTTAATACAATTTCTGTTTTTAATTTATTTTTACACCTATAACTATATGAACATAATATATTTTGTTATAAGGGCATTATAATCATTATAATGTCTGTTCATTTTTTTTTTTTTCTTTTTTCTTTTTTCATGTTCATTCAAACAAAAAGAGTAATAATATTTTTTTTTAATTTTTCTTTCCATCCAAACAGATAGTTAATTTTTTTAAAAAAGAATTGACTACATTGAAAAATATCAAGATAACTTGAGTACTAGATCGTTGAATATCAAATCCGTGCAAATGTAGATGTCTTTAGAAAGTTATTCCCGTTGAAATCAAACAATACTCAAATTTAATTTATAGTGTTAAATATTAGATATTTTATTAAAAAATAGAGAGAACATTAATGTTGAACTTATTTTTTAAATCGCCATAATTAGTTGAGAAAAAAATTCACGGACACATGCATGCACCAAAACATTTTAATGCGTAGAAATTTTTGTACACTTTGCTGTACACATGTACGGCATAGGGTCTTTCCATTAAGATTAAAATTTTGATTAAATTAATTTATAGATTACAATATCATCCGCAACAATCATGTAGGCACCTTAAATAGATTCGCAAGAATCTTAATATATTTAATGCAAAAATTATTCTTTCCTTTCTAATTATTGCGGACGATCTTGTCATTTTGTACAACTCACATGTCCCTAACATACTTGCAAGTGGGGACTATTCATAGTCAAGAACCTTCAATTATTTATTTATAGTGTATTTCACTCCTTTGGAAAATAAAAATATTGTATGAAAATATTTGTAGATGTATTTATAAATATTAATTCAAATATAGGAAATAAAAAGAATCCCCAACACTCATGGTGTAGACGGCAAATAGTTTGGTTCTATTGGATAAAATTGAGTTCGAATATTTTAGAAGAAAATATATGTTAAAATGAGTTTTATCTCGTTGGTCCAAAAAAAGGGGGGAATGGCGCTTTAGAACCAATATATTTCAAAATTTAATTACAATTTAGACCAAAATATTTCAAAATTTCAATGAAGCAC